GTGAGAAAATTGTATGTGAAAAATGTGTATAAGATAGTATCTAAAATAACAAGTAACGCTTAAAAAAACCATGTCCCAATTTCACACTTCTTCTACGACTAGCTATGCGGTCCAGGGGCGGATTCAGAGTCTACTCTCGGGAGGGGCACTGCCAGAAAATTAAGTTTTGCTTACAGAACGGTTAATATTTTATTTAAGACGGTTTCCCGGCCAATTACAATTAAGCTGGCCAAACAACATGCAGCCGGCTTCCCTGGCAATCAGGAAGCCGGTTGGCATGTCATTACCCGCTGCCAGCTTCCTGATTACCCGGGAAGCCTGCTCCATGCCAGTGGAAGCACCGGTATTGGTATTATTCAGTATCGGTTAGTACCAAAAGCAAAATATTGGTACTCGTACTTGATACCGAAAAACCGGCATTGGTGCATCCCTAGTTTTTATTAAAACAATTTTTTTGTATTGGGACAAGTAGATTGTCATGAAGGGCAAGTAGATTCGGCCCCCGCTTTATCCCTATAACTTGCCAGCCATCACCAACAGTCTCCCCAACCTCACCTACCTACATGCAGGCTGCAGCACCTCTTCCTCTTTGTCCTTGGCGGCGAGTGGAGGGGAGGGGTCACATCCTGGGTCACATGACCCAGGATGTGGCTGCCTGGCTGTGCCGGCAGAGACGGGTATAGGCTCCGTCTCCACCAGGCTAACAGTCACTTTCAATGACAGGCAGCCGCCTGTTTCATTCGGATCCCCGCACACACCGGAACATACATTGATTTTATCACCTCATTTCATTTTGGAATGTTTATGTCCACGTCTGTACAGCATCTGGTGTAATTAACAGGCAGCGCTCCGTCCATGACAGGTTACACAGCTTGGAGGCTTTCCCTGCTCTGTAACCTGTAACAAGCCGATCTGAATGGAGAAAAAGCTGTCAGCTTCAGACTTGAATTCCACTTTAGTTTATCTTTAAGTTGCATGCGTACATTTGAGTGTAGGATAATAAAGTGTATCTAAACCCAAAAACAAACATAATATATTGCAGCTTACCAATTCCTAAATATAATGACTGCATTCATCTTTTTTTAGGCTTTTCTTTTTTTCCCCTTGTGCAGGTTTAATAACCTTCATTAGACGTGAGGATACAAGGGACATTACACCAGCTGACCCTTCCCTGTCCTCTCTCCCTCCCTGGGCCCTAGTAGTATAAGGACCACTGACATCATTACATCTAGTGCATGTTACCTAGACCTTCATTAGACGTGAGGGCAGGGGCGTAACTAGAAATCCCAGGGCCCCATAGCAAAATTTTGCAACGAAACCCCCCGCCCCCATTTTATTAGAAATGCACTGATCAGCACGTTTTTGGGCGTTTTTAATTGCGTTTCAGCTGAAACGCAACTAAAAAGAGCCAAAAATACTCTTTCAAAAATTGTGCGGAAACCACAGTGAAACTCTTCCGCCCTGGTGTGAATGGTCCCTGAATGAGGCCTGACACTTTACTTTAATACTGCCACTCCAATGAGAGGCTGAGTTAAGGGGGATTATAAAAAAATTAAGGAAAGCTAAACTGTAAACAAGCGATTTATGCTATAAATGGTTTTTGCGCTGTGTTGGTGTTGTGATAAAATGATACAACACAAGGTATCACAACGCACGGCAATGTGTCACAAAGCATTGCCATGCGCTGCCACAGTTAAATGAATGTTTTTTTACAAAAGAAAGAAATTATGCACTGCGATGCGTTCTAACAACGCACTGCAGCGCATGTGCCTGGCGTACACCACAATATGGTGCACGTGTATGTTATGTGTGTGGGGGGGAGGGGGGGTTGTGCTTTTTTTTTTCTTTACACATTTTTAATTATTATTATTTTACTGTCTTTTTTCTACAGCCTCAGCACTCAGTGAATGGGAAGCACTCAGTACAGATGCTTCCCATTCATTCACAAACTGCTGATAGAGAAGAAGAACATTAGAAGAAGACATTGCCTAGAAGAACATTATATGAGAATACAGCATTACACAGGAAAACATATATACAGATAGAGATTCCTGTGTATCAAAGATATAAGCATGCATATAGAAAACTAGCATTGCACTACAGCGCCATCTACTGCTCAAAAAACATATTAGTACATTAGTATAACCTGTTGTATTTCCAACAATTCATACCCAATAGCAAATCAAAACAAGGGATCGATTCCTCATGTTATCATTATAACCAGAGGCCTGATTATCTTATCCTGCAGTGCTCAGCTGTGCAGGTGGCTGGTTTACAGCACATATGCATACCAGATTTAAAGTCTGTATTTATTTATTGTATTATTCTTCTTGGCCCACCTCAACATCCAGGCAGCTATAAAAGAATAAAAGTCACATATTAGTGATGCTCTTTAATCATTAATAAATTTATAATTTTTAATTTAAGCAGTATAAGCACATGAATGTGTCTGGAGTTAGCCTTTTGTAGTCTACTGTACAGCAGAGGTCAGAGAGGGGAAGGGAGAAGCAGCACAAGGAGCCAAGCAGATGTACGGCACTGCAAGGAGCATGTTGATAAGTGGAGAGAGCAGAATGGCCTAAAGATGATCTCATCAATGTCTTGCTTTTCCTTTTACTATCCATTCACAGGGTGGGGGTGGGGAAGAGACCTGCAAATAAAAGTTAAATTGTAGCAGAGGAAATCAGGACCCCAGGGCTATACTATAGCCGGGCAGGGTTATACTGTGTGGCAGAGCTGTGTAAATCTCAGGACTAGATGGACAGAAATAACATTTCTTTTTAAGGTAATTCTGTTCTCATACATGTATTTTACCTGTATATTTAACTGTTTGCCTTCAGTTCAGTTTCAGAACAAGAACCTAGGAAGTGAGAGAGAGTGACTCTTTGGTGCCTACAGCAACCAACAACCACAAGTATGTGGTGCGCCCCTGCGATCAATGCGCATGTTCAGGTAAGGAAGTGGAAGTTTGGGTTTTGGCTGTGGTTGATAAATGCGGCCGTGCTTCATGTTACACCCTACATATGAGTGTAACAGTAAACATGGTCTATATTCAATACATTGTGTGAATATTCACTTCAAATATCAAGTCATGTGAAAAGCAAATTACAATGTATCTGCACGTGAGTGATTATTCAAAGTGAACAGTAATTTGCTTTTCACATGATTCGATAAATTAGATTGTAAGCTCTGTTGAGAAAGGGAGGAACTGATGTACACAATTCAACATGAAAGGGGCATCAGTCCTTTACACCCGTGAGCCCAGGCCCGGATTCCCCACAAGGCCACCGAGGCCCGGCCATATAAACGGTGTGCAGCCTTCTCCCCCTCCCCGGTGCACTTACCTCTCTCCTTGGTTCCGTCCTCCGCCGCCGAGTCCCGAGTCTCTGACTGCAGTGAGCAGAGCGGCAGGGTTAAAAGTAACCCTGCCGCTCCGTGTAGAAGCAATAACATTATGACCATTGACAGGTGAAGTGAGGTGGTGGGAGTGTGATGCTTTGGGCAATGTTCTGCTGGGAAACCTTGGGTCCTGCTATTCATGTGGATGTTACTTTGATATGCGCCATCTACCTAAACATTGTTGGTGACCAAGTACACCCCTTCATGGAAACGGTATTCCCTGATGGCAGTGGTCTCTTTCAGCAGGATAATGCGCCCTGCCACACTGCAAAAATGGTGCAAGAATGGTTTGAAAAATAAGTTTGAGTTGTTGACTTGGCCTCTGAATTCTCCAGATCTCAATCCAATCGAGTATCTGTGGGATGTGCTGGAAAACAAGTCTGATCCCAACTTGCAACTTACAGGACTTAAAGGTTTTGCTACTGACGGTTTGGTGCCAGATACCACAGCATACCTTCAGAGGTCTAGTGGAGTCCATGCCTCAACAGGTCAGGGCTGTTTTGGCGGCAAAAGGGGGACCTGATCAATATTAGACAGGTGGTCATAATCTTATGGCTGATCGATGTATAAAAGAGTTTGATTGAAAAATATATTTTATTTATATAATAAAATATATAAAAACAAGATACACATTCTACCCTGTACTGCGACGCAGCGCATAAACACTACATAGCTATACAGTACAATCACCCCAATAAATTACAATCACCCCGCGGCGAGATGCCTGATGTGTAGCACAAGACAAAAGTTCTGAGCCTTCCATGTCATTCACGACATTGCTTTACTCCGTACTGAGTATGTGGTCCAGAGGATCCACCGCAAGAAAGCTTGCGGCCCAATGCCTGAGGTGCAGCGCCAGAGCTAAACGCACCAGTTCCGAGTAGTAAAGGTACAGCTACCTTTTTTGGAGTTTTGGATAGAGTGGTGATAGGTTAGTAGCACAGTCAGGTTTATATTACCATCTCTTCAGGGAAGCCTATCCCACCTCAACCTAACCGCTCAACCATCACATTCTCAAATGATTCATCCCCACACAGCTACCTCCTCATGAATTACTTGCCCCTCCCTTTTAGATTGTAAGTCCTCAGGGGCAGGGCCCTCCTTACCATCTTGTCTTGAATTGTATTGTGATTGTAATGTCTGCCCTATATTGTAAAGCGCTGCGCAAACTGTTGGCACTTTATACATCCTGTATAATAATAATATTAATCTGTGTCCATGTTGGGGAGATTCACCCTCTCTAATTCTGCTGATGTACCAATATCATGTGACATAAAACAATGCAACTACCAGCTTTTATTCAACAGGGCTTCTGCTCTGCTTTTAGAAAATGTATGTTTTGGGGGTTTAGGTAACCTTCAAGCCTAAAAGGTGTATTTTACATTGACAATAAAACTACAGGAGTGAAAAGCAACAGCAAAATAAAGCACACAGGTAAAATGCAGATGCAATTTTCCGATGGCTCAGTTAATATAATGAAAGTCAGACGTTCGTTGTTAGGATGCCACTAACAAAGCAACATTCCCTGAGTCAAGATGGCCGCATGTGAGTCACTCAAGCCGATCTATGGTGGTTCTTCGATCACATGACTAGTCTGGCGGTCACGTGACAGCGCGGCCGAGCCAGGAAGATGAGTGTTCGGACGGTGTGGAGTTTGGGGAATTTCTCCAGGGCTGTCATACGGACAGCTACTCTGCGCTGCGTACAGACTGCCCACAGGAGAGTGGGAATAGCTGTAAAAAGGGATATACCCGGCCGACGGGGCAGCAGGGGCACACCGCCATGTGTAATGACCCCAGGTAGATGGGCAGGATCACGTGACTGCAGCCTGCGCCCTCCCTTCTTCCTGATGAGTTGTGCAGGTGAGCTTGTGTCTGTAGTGCGGTCATGTCATGTCTGCCACTCCAGACCTCTATAGTATACGAGCTGGAACACAGGAAAGTGGTGCTGCTCTCCATAACTAATATCTGATAGGATAATGAATGCAAAGTGGTGCTTGAAATTAATTTTTAGAGATACTTTCCTTTCTAGGAGAGCTTTTATATAGGTTAGCATTCCCCTGTCACCTCAGGACATTACTGCACATACTCTGTGGCTTTGTTTTATTTTTCACATGCAGAGCGCAGTGTGGAGACAGCGATATCCTGCACTGTTCTCTCCCCATATTGCTGCAGAGAATGTTCACAGTTAGGAGGAAAATGCTGTCACATGACTTGTTTCAAGGTCATGTGACAGGTTTCCACATCTCCCTGGCACTTGTTTTTCCAGATTCATTTGAATGGGGTTTCTCCTGCTTCAGAGTCCTGCGAGAAAGGGCCAACTGCTTTTATAATACAAACAGCTGCTGTGGATAATGTGCTGAATGCAACAGAATTTTCCCTAATTTCCTGCTCTGGTGGCAACTCCAGCAGTACAAATAGAAGAGATGGGGCTCAGTCAGACTTGGATGCACATTGTCTGGGTGCAAGTGTGGGTATCCGGACCTGATCAGACGTGTTTGTGTGACAGGGGAAATTACATAAGTAAGAACAGGCTGCTGCACACAGTTACACGCAGCACTTGTCTCTTCCGTGATGTGCTATTTTACGGGTGTGCATGCTCATTAAGGATGGACTCGGGCGTGTTCGCAGCTCCACGTGCCGAGCCCGCCAGAAAGGTGACAGCGCGCAGCGCCAATCACAGGCACTGAGACATTTCTCATTGAGAATGTCTCATTACCGGTGAATGGCGCTGTCAGCTTCCTGGCGGGTTCGGCACGTGGAGCTGCGAACACGCCCGAGCCCATCCTTATTCTTTAGCCTCCTCTCTAAGACGCTCCTCCCCTCGTCTCACACTGACATCATTGCATACAATACAGGACCAAAAGCCCAGCATTGTGCATGAGGACAGCTAGTGCCCCCGCTCAACCCAGAGCTTCATGAAAAAGAGGAGAAGGCCGGAGCGAGGAATAAGGTAAGTATTCCACCTAATTCTTCTACCCCTAGAGTTAACAAACATTTAGCCCTTGCAGTGTGGGAAGGAGGGGTGCACCGCAAAGGTACTTTTTGTGTAATTCCTGGAGTTCAGCTTTAATCCAGACAGCAGTCAAAAACAACCAGGGTCAATCCCTCTCCACTATATCAAAAAAGAAAAAGCCTTCACATTAAATTTTATGTAAGCACACCAAAACCCCAAAATGTCTTATAAGCTTATATATATATCTATAAATACTGATCTCCTGTCACAGAGCTGTGCCGGTCCCGGCCGCATCGGGCATAGCGGATCTCGGGACCGGCAACGGCAGTGCAGGCTTCTGATACAAGCGATCAAATTTTCGAGCCGTGTGTGTGTGTGTAATATATATATATATGGTTTGGCCCATAGTTCAAATATATATATATATGGTTTGGCCCATAGTTCAAATTTAAGA